CATTAAAGTGTAAGTGATGTTTCAACATCAAATCCCCCCTCCCTTCTCTTGTGATTTTCGCATAGTTGTTTTTCCTTTGGTTGTTTGATGTCGGCGACTTTTACAGATATAACTACTTTGCCTTGTTCTATTTTTATTTAGTTCAGTGCGCAGGCGCAATTTACCATTTTCTATCACATGGGTTTGTTTATACGTCACAATTACGATGATAAAGAGTGTAACTGGGTCCTACCAGGGAGCTTTGATGTGTGGTAAGTCTATGGTACTTAATGGAATTACGGACCTCTTTCCGATTGTATTATTTACGAAATACATATACTAAAATTGCAACGATACAGAGAAGAAATCGCATGGCCCCTGCACAAGGATGACACGCAAATCCCCCCTACCTTCTCTTTTGATTTTCGCCTAGTTGTTTTTCTTTTGGTTGTTTGATGTCGGCGACTTTTACAGATATAACTACTTTGCCTTGTTCTATTTCTATTTAGTTCAGTGCGCAGGCGCAATTTACCATTTTCTATCACATGGGTTTGTTTATACGTCACAATTACGATGATAAAGAGTGTAACTGGGTCCTACCAGGGAGCTTTGATGTGTGGTAAGTCTAGGGTACTTAATGGACTTACGAACCGCTCTCCAATTGTATTATTTACGTAATACATATACTAAAATTGGAACGATACAGAGAAGATTAGCATGGCCCCTGCACAAGGATGACACGCAAATTCGTGAAGCGTTCCATATTTTTCGAATCTTGATACGCGATCCTTTTTACAAACCCTTATCCTAACGCCTGTATATGATGCTATTTCTTTTTTAATTTCGATGTTTCTTTGAGAGCAGCTTTAAGGCAGTTCTCTGAATGACAGCACGGTTATACATAGGCCTAATTTAGATAAACAATAATACAACGTCATAACAATCGCCGCTTAAAACAATTCAATGCATTGTTCTTGCTATTTGATGCCAGTATTGTAGGTTGATATGCCGAAGAAGGTTTCCGAAGGCAATGAATTGCTAAACAACTCAATTACGTCATAATTAGCAATACAATTGACATATATATGCTTCCACAATGCGACGATAATTGCACTTATA